TTGGGGGAGCAGGTGGGATGCAGCCCTGCCTGGAGCTGCTGCCCGGGCTGAGCTGCCCTTCCCACGTGCCAGCAGGCGCTGAGCACGCAGCTCCCCGGGGCACTCCCCGCCAGGCGCAGGGGGCCCAGGACAGAGGCCGTGCCGTGGGCTGGGACACTGCGCTGGCAGCAAGGGTGCCCCTTCTGGGATTGAGCCTGGGTTTTTGCCTGCAGGGTCTGCAGTGGGTAAAGCTGAGCCCTGAGGAAATCCCATCACGCATCCAGGCCATCACAGGCAAGCGTGGGCGACCCCGCAACGCAGAGAAAGCCAAGCCCAAGGAGACACCCGCTGTGAAGCGTGGCCGGGGCCGGCCTCCCAAAGTCAAGATGGTCGACTTGCTGAGCAAGACGGATGCTCGGCTGCTGCAGAGACTGGAAGCCCAAGGTACCCCCTTTCCTGGCCCTTCATGCCCTGCAGTGGGGCTGTGCCACACTGCTCCAGTTTGAGGCCTCTCCCGGGGCAGAGATGGCAGCCAGCCACAGCCTGGCTCTGGAGCAGCATCAGAGCCCCAGCGCCTTGTCCCTATCACTAACCATCCTCTCTGCTCTTGCAGAGGTGCTCAGCGAGGAGGACAAGTTGAAAATGAGCAAAATCAAGAAGAAAATGAGGCGGAAGGTACGAGTGGCTGCATGGGGAAGGCGGGGCTAGGGGTGTCCTGCCAGGAGCCGTCTCCAGGACCCTGTCTGGTCTCCTGTGGCTCTAGATCCAGCAGCAGTTAGGGTTGAGCTGCCTCCTGGGGCTCTGCCAGTCGCCAGGTGCCTCAGGAGCCTCCCCTTCCCACAAGGGTGGGTGTTAGTAGTTCCTTCCTCTGGCAGCACTGCTGCCTCCCGTGCAGTGAGCTGTTCCCAGCCTGTGGTGCAGCCGTGTGTCGGGCCCTGCTCTGCCTGACCTCGCAGTGCTGGCTGTACCGGGGCTGTGACCCCCGGGCCAGCCAGGCCGGGGGCACTGCGGCTACCCCAGGACAGCAGCCCAGGGGAGAACTGCCTCTTTGCTCTGCCCGGCGTGGGAAGGCCTCACCTTGGCCACCGATTCCCTGAGCTGGATCTCGTCCCTTCCAGGCCAAGAACAAGCAGAAGCAGGAAGCCAAAGCTCCTAAAGCAAAGGAGACCAAGAAGAAGTCCAAGGTGAGTGCATGGGGGTGCAAGGTGGCCTGGAAGAGGGGAGTGGGGACGGAATCACTCTCTCCATGTGACCTCCATGATCTGTCCTCAGACCAAGGAGAAGAAGGGCAAGACAGAGAAGGGCAAGGAAAAGGTGCGGCCCAAGGAGAAGAAGGGCAAAGCGGCTCGCAAGGTGGACAAGAGCCTGTTGGCCCAGCGGCGCCTGGAGGAGCGTCGGCGGCAGCAGCTGATCCTGGAGGAGATGAAGAAGCCCACAGAGGATATGTGCCTGGGGGACCACCAGGTCGGCTGGGCCTTGAAGCGGGACGTGGAGGGATTTGGCTGGGCTGAGCTAATGAGCCACCTGCCTGCTTGGTGCTTCACACCCTCTGATTGTCATCTCTCCTTTCCTGCAGCCCCTGCCAGCCTTCTCCCGCATCCCAGGCCTCGTCCTGCCCAGCCGCGCCTTCTCCAACTGCCTCACCGTTGTGGAGTTCCTCCAGAGCTACGGCAAGGTCCTGGGCTTTGACCCAGCCAAGGACGTGCCCAGCCTCTGCACGCTGCAGGAGGGGCTGCTGGGTGTGGGCGACAGCGTGGGCGAAGTGCAGGACCTGCTGGTGCGGCTGCTGCAGGCTGCGCTCTATGACCCTGGCCTGCCTCCCTACTGCCAGGTGAGCTGGCGGAGGGCACTGCTGGTGCTGCTGGCCTCGGCTCCTAGCTGTGCTGCGGACTTCCCCCTTTCCCCCTGTCCCCTGCCTTGTTCCCTCGTTGCTTCGTCCAGGCTGGAGATGCTGGTGAGGCTGGTGCCCCACTGAGGCGCAGGGTCCTGCAGGCTTGGGACAGGAGACTACTGTGATTTGGGATTCTGGGTGTTTCTGCTCCTCTTGGCACAGCCAACAGCTGCGCAGCCTCCTGCCCCCTCTCCCTGTGCATGTTCAGCTCCTGGCCTCATCCCACATGTTCTCGGCCCCCAGAGGCAGCAGTCAGGATGTTCCCAGCCATCTGTCCTGCTGCACAGGCCTTGGAGCACAGCAGACGAGATGCCTCCCTAGTCCCAGCCTGGCTCTCTTGGGACACTCTTGGGTTCATTCCTACTTGGATTTGGGTTGCCTGGCCCTGGTTTTCCCATCTGTGAGGTGCTGGCGTCCTTTTCATGCCCTGGAAAATCCCCCATTTTTCCCAGTGGGCAGGAGGGGGACTCCCTAAACACCCCTTCTGCTCTGCCCAGTCCCTGAAGATCCTGGGAGAGAAGGTGTCGGAGATCAGTCTGAACCGTGACACCGTTTCTGAGATCCTGCGCTGCTTCCTCATGGCGTATGGGGCAGAGGATGACCTGTGCGATGGGCTGCGGACGAAGCCCTTCCAGGCACTGCCCCCGGACAAGAAAGCAGCCATCCTGTCCTTCCTGGTGAACGAGCTGAACAGCAGTGCCCTCATCATCAAGTGAGCAAGGCGGGGGGGGGGGGGCAAAACTCGTCCTCTTGCATCTTGGCCACTCTGAGGCCAACCACAGTGCAGCCACATGCCTGCTGCCTCACTGCCAGCATGTGCTGCCAGGCCTTGCAGCCCCATGGGCTGTGCTACCATGCTTCTGGGCACAGGGTGGGAAGGGCTGGGCTTCTTCATGTCCTGTGTGGCCCCATCTCCTTCCCCATCAGTGCCGTGTAGAGCAAGTCGTTTGCAGCTGAGCTCCTTGTCTCCTTGCAGCGAGATTGACAAGACCCTGGAGAACATGTCCAACTACAGGAAGAACAAGTGGATCATCGAGGGCCGGCTGCGCAGGTGGGTGCTGCCAAATCCAGCTTGTGAAATTCCCTGACGTGCCAGTCTCTATGCGAGGAGGACTGTTGTGGCTAGGAGCTACTCTGTTGTCTCTGAAACCTTCCCTTCTGCTTCCTCATTCTCCCCACTGGAGATGGGACCTTGCACTAGAAGTATCTTAGGCTGTTATATAACTGCATGTCTCAGCCAGCTGTTGGGACTGGCACATACTGGACACTTCTGCTGTGACTTGGCAGGTTGAAGATTGCTCTGGCCAAGAAGACGGGCCGTCCCGAGTCAGAGATCACAGGCTTGGACGATGGGCGGAGGAGACGCAGCTCTCGCCTCACAGAGGAGAACGGCCTGGAGATGGAGGAGGAGGAGGAGAGCCGAGGCCGGAAATCCCGCAAGGATGAGGAGGTGACGTGCCTGTGTGGGGTCAGCTGCTTGTGGGGAGCAGTTTGGACCAGAGCACAGTGGAGATTGGGAACTCGGCTTCCTGGGTTCTCTTCCTAGTTCTGCCAGCGTTTTCCTCTGACCAGTCTCTTCTCTCTCCCAGGCTGACACTTCTGCATCCAGTGTCCCTGAGCTGGAGAGACAGATCGAGAAGCTAGCCAAGGTAACCTGGCAGGGGACAGGGCTGCTGGGCTTCACTGCTGGTGCAGCTCTGTTGGGGGGGCCCCTCCCAGCCCTTCACCCTGCTGTGCTCTCCCTACAGAGGCAGATGTTCTTCCGTAAGAAGCTGCTCCATTCCTCGCAGACGCTGCGGGCATCCTCTCTGGGCCAGGACCGGTATCGGCGGCGGTACTGGGTCCTGCCCCACCTGGGTGGGATCTTCGTGGAGGGTACGGAAGGTGAGTGGGAAAAGGTTCCCAGGGGGGCAACATTGGAGGCCCCTTCTGGAGGGGAACCACATGGTTCACCTCCTCTTCTTGCCCTTACAGTGGCTGAGCCAGTGCCAGAGGAGCGCACAGAGGAGAAGGTGGTTTGCCACGTCTCCCCGGTCAAGGAGGAGCCAATGGACATGCCCATTCCCAACCGAACGAACTGCACGATCTCGCGCTCCCGGGGCCGGCCACGAAAGAGCAAAGAGGAGCTGTCTCAGCACTGTGGACCCAAACCTCCTCCTGTCAACGGGGTCCTAGAGGATTCAATGTCCTTGGGCCAGAGCCAGCACGACCTCAGCCAGTCTGCCTTCTTGTCCTGGCTGAGCCAGACGCAGTCATCCCTGCTGAAGGACTCTGTGCTCACCCCGGACAGCAGCCCCGGAAAGGGGGACTCGGGTCTCCCGCCTGTTGAGGCCCTGACTGATGCTGAAGCGGAGGAGGAGAGTGCCACAGACGTTACAGAGAAACAGGGGCCCTGGCTCAACCTGCTGCCCCGGACACCCTGCGATGACCGCGCCCCCCTTGCTACCTCTTCAGCCGAGCCCTTGCCAAGAGCCAGCTCGCAGCCCCGCAGCCAGCACCGGGGGGAGCAGCCCAAGGCCTTGGCCAGGCAGGTATGTGCTCAGACATCCTCGGTGGAAGGGAGACCTGGGGAGGGAGGCTGTGTCCAGGATTTCTGTTTCAGCATATGGTGACCCCTTGGGAAATTGCCTGTCCTATTGGATGAAGAAGGGACCTGCCTCTGGCTCTTTGGAGGGGAAAGGCCTGGGGGATCCTCTGCCTGGGCACATTTGACCCAAATGGCCAGGGAGATGCTGTTCTTATGGTTGCATATCTGTATGGTGGGAACTTGGTCCTGCTGCTCTCAAAACCTCTGGGCCAAGGCTGCAAAAATTGATGGAGCTGCCTAGCGGAGGCAGCTGTGGGCAGCTGCAGTGCCTGGGGTCGGGGGCCCAAGGAGGGGTGTGTGCCTGGCCCTTCTCTGACCTGCTCTGTCTCTTCCCAGCTGAACGGCCTCCCTGCAGACGACCCCACGTCTCCCCTGCTTGCTTCCACACCGGTCCATGCTGGCACCAGGGTCCATGGCGCCTGCCCAAGGAGCCGGAGCAGCCTAGAGAAGCTCCAAGACCCACCAGGGCAGCCCAAACGCCGGGGGCGGCCCCCTACAAAGTTCTTCAAGCAGATTGAACAGAAGTACTTGACCCAGCTGACGGAGCAGCCTGTTCCCCCTGGTGAGCCCCCCGCTCCTCTCCTTCCCTGTCTGCCCTGGCCAGAAACACCAGACCCTCTCGTGGGCAAAACCATCTTCTTCCTAGGCTAAGGCGTGTGCATCTGAGAGCCATGGCCTGGCTTTTCTGCTCCCTGATGAAAGCGCAGCATGTCCAGCAGGCAGTGGCCTGAGCTGCCACGCCTGGGTCCCGCTCCCTACTGTACTGGGCCCTGGGGCAGGATTTTGCAGGTGCTGAGCTGGCTGTGTGCCATTGCCTTGCAGAAATGCAGAGTGGCTGGTGGTGGCTGCAGGACCCTGAAGAGCTGGAGGCAGTGGCCCGTGCACTGCACCCTCGGGGAATCCGGGAGAAAGCTCTGCATAAGCACCTCACCAAGCACAAGGATTATCTGCGGGAGGTCTGCCTGCGCACCACCACTGGTAAGGACTACCCGCAAGGGCCAGGGCATGTGCCCAGCTCCGTGCCTTCCCCGCTGAACCCTTCCTCTCCCCGCAGACCCCATCTTCCACCTGCGCCCAGAGGCAGCCGGCACCGCTGTGTCTCAGGAAACCTTAGCCCGGTGGTCAGTGATGGAGCGAGCCTACGAGACCGACCTCTCCATCCTGCAGTGGGTGGAGGAGCTGGAACAGCGTGTGCTGATGGCAGATCTGCAGATACGAGTAGGTGCTGGGAAGGGGCTGCTGGCAATCCACCCCCGGCCTGGCACCCTCTTCTGAGCCTGTCTCTGTTGCAGGGCTGGACGTGTCCCAGCCCCGACTCCACACGGGATGACCTGCAGTACTGTGAGCACAAGGTGGAGCCCCTGGAAGACATCACCATCAAGAACCGGCGGGAAGGACTGCCCCTGTGCCGGGAGCACACGAACCCCCTGGACCTGGCAGTTCTGCGGCTGGCAGCGCTGGAGCAGAACGTGGAGCGGCGCTATCTGAAGGAGCCGCTCTGGCCGTTGCATGAGGTGGTGGTAGAGAAAGCGGTGCTGAGCAACCCTGAGGAGCTGAGCCTGGGCTCCAGAGAGATGTGAGTCCCTTGTCCTTGCACAGCTGAGACTGGTTTAATTAGGATATGGACAGCCCTGGCTTAGCACTGCCTTCCCTTCTCTACCTTCCCCAGTGCGTACGAGATCACGCCCCGAATCCGGACATGGCGACAGACTCTGGAGCGGTGCCGGAGCGCGGCCCAAGTCTCCCTGTGCATCTACCAGCTGGAGAAGTCCATTGCCTGGGAGAAGTCAGTCAACAAAGTGGTGAGAGCCTCCATGCTGTCCCTGCCAGGCAGGAAAGCCAAATTCCCTTGGGGTCAGCATGGCCCAGCTGTGCCTGGCCAAATTCCCTACTGCAGGATGGCTGCGGGTTTGAGGCCATGCTGCCCAGGGCGGTGGGGACAGGGAGGCCCGCTCTGCAGGCTCAAGCTCGTGTAGCCTCGCGCGCCGTGCTGCCTGCCTGACCCCTGCTCCCCACAGACTTGCCTGGTGTGCCGGCGTGGAGATGATGATGAGCACCTGCTGCTGTGCGATGGTTGTGACCGTGGCTGCCACCTCTACTGCCACCGGCCCAAGATGACGGAGGTGCCCGAAGGCGACTGGTTCTGCTCTGTCTGCCTCTCCCAGGTAGGTCGCGGAGGAGGCCCTGGACGTGGGCTGGGAGCCAGGTTCGCTCAGGCTCAGGCTGTGACCACGTTCCTCTTCCCTGCAGGCGGAGGAATATCGGGACCCCAACTCGCCCCGGCGAGGCAAGAAGCGGAAGCGGGGGCGTCTCTTTGGGGTGGGCTTCGTGGAGGCAGACGAGAGCCCCCGGCGCCGGGCAGCCTCGCGCCGCCGCGAGGGCCTGGCAGTGCCCCGCTATGCGGGCGAGG